TAGGGTGTAGGGTTTAGAATTTAGGGTTTAGGGTTTAGGGTTTATAATGTAGGGGACGAAATAAATTACGAATACTATTCTGAGTAAGTATAGTATAATGGGGCCCAGAACCCTATTCTAATTATTCAGGCCCCAGAATTAGCCCGTCGACGTTGCCCTTATGGCAATTCGTATTGCCCTTTGACGAACCTTTGTGCTGTCGCGCTTTTTAGAAGCCTTATATACAGGGATTTATAATATGATGACATTATTTAAGGGGCGCTATGCCGATGCCTTTCTCCCATAGCACCCGCCGCTTCGCCGGGTCTGGCTCGATTAGCGAAGCGAGCACTGATTGGAAATGAGGGGAAAGAACCTGCGAGATCTGAACCTGTCAGGGAAAGGGATCAGGGTTTAGGGTTTAGGGGGTTTCGGGTCTTTTGGGGGGTTCGGGGTTTAGGGTCTAGCAGTTGGGTGACTTTGGGAATTTGCGGGGCTCAGAGTTTAGGATTCCTTGATGGTCCCAAACTCGACCACCCTAGCCTTGAGGGCTCTGGAATGGTTGGAGGTTCTGGGTTTAGGGTTTAGGGGTTTAGGGTTTAGAACTTCAGGGTTTAGGGTTTAGGAGTTTAGGGTTTAGGGGTTTAGGGGTTTAGGGTTTAGGGTTTAGGATTTAAGGGTTTAGGGTTTAGGGTTTAGGAGTTTAGGGTTTAGGGGCTTAAGGGTTTAGGGCTTAAGCCCTTCAGCCCAAAAGCGAAAGCCTCAGCTTGGACCGACCTCCTCAGGACTTCCTTGGGTACTACGGCATGTTTAGAAGGACAAGGGTTTAGGGTTTAGGGTAGCCTGGGATTCAGACCCATTCCTCATGTATGGGGGTATGAAGGGTAGTCAGCTGTCACTGTCTTCGCACACTACATACATACATGCATGCATACATGCACATTGAAATTCTGCATATCTACACAAAGAACAATTCTCACATATTTACAGCTGTAAACCTACATTTTGCCTTCTAGCGACTCAAGAAATCAATGATGCCCGTATCGAAACTTCCTGTCTGAATAGTTTGAATAGGGTGTACGGGTATGCTAAATGAAATATATAAACGGGTTTATAAGGGAATACGACTACTGTTTATTCTGACCCCTATATGAAACTGCTGATCTTTTCGGAGGTTTAGAGGTTCGCGGTGTGTATTGATTTACTTGTTGGGTCGAAGTATGTGCTGCAGCAGCCGGCTTCTTCTGATCTCTCTCCTCTGCCAGGAAGCCGATACCAAACATCACCGCAATGCCCAGTCGTTGTCAAGGTTTCGCAACCCTGAGCCCTAAACCCTAAACCCTAGACCCTGAAACTCTCAATCAACCCTAAAACCTCATCCCCTAGACCCCAAATATCCTGAGCCTTCGAGGCACCCACGGTGAGCGTGCGCTTCTCGAAGAACCTCTTGGGGCCATGCTTCTGGACGTAAGCGAAAGCCTGGAAAGTGGAAGCAGGGATTTCAATGAGCCTGTATATGGGACTTAGATCGACAGACATGTCAGCCACAATAAACCAAATGGCCGGTTCAACGAATTCATCGGATTTTGGAGCTGTTTTTGCAAAGAGCATGGATTGCGTTGCGGAGCCCCACAGACACAGGTCGCCCTAATGTGTCTTCACTTGGGTAGTTCTGTGTACTAGGCTTTGCGTTGAGCCCTGTTGTTGAGGTTTCCATACAGTTTTGGGGGGAGCCAAAAAAGGGACCCCAATTTGGGGAACTGCCCATTTGCTGGCATTTCGTAAACCCGACAAAAACTAAATGCACCACCAGCATCGACGAGAAGAACAAGCGACAGGAGCAACGATAGCCCCTCTGTTCTGTGAGAACCGAACCTCCACATAACAGAACCCACTGCAAGAAAGCACAGGAGCAAGAGTGCACGATCCGATGACTAGAAGCACCGTGCCTATTTAGGGTCATGCGGGTTCTGGGTTTCGGGTTCAGGGTTTTGGGGTAGGCCGGGCTTACCAAGAGCTTAGTTGGGCTACAGGCTTAGGATTTGGGGTTGGGGCTTAGGATTTAGGGTTTGAGGCTTGAGCGTGATTCCCTCGGCCTTGCAATCACTTGTCGTGCTCTGCCAGGGGTACGTGCCGGTTGCAAGGACATAACCCACCACGCCGCATGCAAACAAATCTGCAGTACGGGCATCATAGATGGCTTGCCTGGGCTTGCCAAAACCCTAAACCCTAAACCCGAAGCCCTAAACCCCAAACCCTCAATCCTAAACTTCAGGGGCCAAGCTTCTGCTGAAACGACTCCTTTACAAAAGCAAGGTTTGACAAAACTGTTCCAAGACGTAGCCCGGCGTCTCACCAACAGTTTCCGGAGCGCGATACATCAGCTTTCCTCGAACGGTTCCTAAACTTCACCCCGCTGCTAAAGCTCTCGAAATTTAGCGTAGGCTTACGCTTCAAAGAAACGAAGGTCCGCTTGAAGCGGAAAGCTGAGCAGTCTATCCAAAACCCACCACGTATACATCATATGTAAGTGCACATATATATATATATACATAACTCCACACCTCCATCCATCCATCCATCCATTTATCCATCCATACATACATACATAGTTACGCACATAAAGTCGTGCATGCAGACGTGCATGTATACATACACACGTACGTAGATACACAATTGGCAAACACACGAACATACGTACATACGTACTAACAGACAGACAGACAGACAGACAGACAGACAGACAGACAGGCAGGCAGGCAGGCAGGCAGGCAGGCAGGCAGGCAGGCAGGCAGGCAGGCAGGCAGGCAAGCAGGCAGGCAGGCAGACACGATGTATATATGTATGTATGTATGTATGTATGTATGTATGTATGTATGTATATATGTATGTATGCATGTATGTATGTATGTATGTATGTATGTATGTATGTATGCATATATCTGTATGTATATGGATATGTATATGTATATGTATATATACATATGTATATGCGTACATATATATATATGTACATACATATGCATGCATATATATATATATATATATAATGTTATATATATATATATATACGCCCACGTACATAAACATATGCATATACACATACACATACATGTCCGCATCCGTAACATACATAACCACAGACGAAACGAAAACGATACAACTATATCTTCATGTACATGCACACACACATATATATATATATATATACACATGTAAACCTTGGTGTGTCTACACATATGCAGATATTCGCACCTACGCAAGCATCTAACCTGCGTATATATATATATGTATATATGTATATATATATATATGTATATATATATATATATCGACTGTAATTCACTGCGCCTGCCCCCTGCCCCCTGTACCGCCGCCCCCCTCCTTGTCGTGCCCCCCTGCCCCCTGCCACCCGCCTTATCCTGGAGCCCTCAACCTCAATTAACCCCAAAAGCCCTGAACCCTGCTTTCCTCGCGCACCCGTGACCGCTGAGAGATCGGTGTCGTGCAAAGCCATGGCGAAGTCAATCAGCGCCACCTCCGCTTGATTTGTTGATAGGACTTAGTACGAAAAGCTGAACTTTAGAGGTTGCCCCCCAGCTCTAAGGAGACATTGTGGGCACGTTTCGCGTACTATTGGCAGAGCATCTACAGGCAAGCTCAATGCCGTGCACATCTGCGATTCAATACCGAGCCAACTCCTGCACGAAGAGTTTGAAGTTTGATCTTGCAGTACACTTGATGCAGCCGGTTCACCGGCACAATATGGAAGCCTGAAAACCGTAAAACCCAAACCCCTAAACCCACACTAGTCCGTAGAGCTCCGTAATAAAATTATAGCTTGGTATACCCCAAAACCATGTTGTAGCTATCAAGCCCCCCAACACAAACAGGTTCACGCTGCCTGAATTTCGGCGCCGTCCATTCGCAGAATGGCATTTTCTGCACTCACGTTGCCATGTGCAATGCCCTTCGAGTGAAGTGTAGTCACAGCCGCAAGCAAAGAGCAAAGCACCTGTGATGCCGTAGCTTCTCTGTCCGGCCCGAGTTCGCCCAAATTACCGGCGAGCTGGAAAAGATCGCCGCCAGGAGCCCACTCCAACATCAACAGAACATCCTCCCGAGAATCTCTGTAGACCCCATGGCATGGGACAACCCCAGGAACTCGCGAAGCCCCATGGCCCAACTGCATCGCCAGAAAGACTTCGGTCCATGGGTCATCACAGGAGCATGGATCGGAGGTCCGGAAAGATTCCGGATCGTCTTGGAGATATGCCCGGGGGAACCTTTTGGCCAGAACCTTTCTGCCGCCGATGGTGCGATCCGACATGATCTCTATCTGTGCCTTGGATTCCTCTGAAAAAGAGCGAACGACGTGCTCCACGTTGAATCTCCCCTGCTCCATCGCAGGAATAGATTCGCGACAGAAGCTGTCGAAATCGGGCATCCAGCTTTGCTCAACGGTAAATGTCTTTGTCAACGGCAAAACCTCGCTGCACTGCGTGCTGCACATGCTCGCCTTAGTTGCTGAGTTCATAAGCACAAAAAATGCACACTTTGAGTTGCAAAGGATCATACGATGCCAAAAAGTTTAAACTTGTAAGGGATCATATTAATCTGTAAGGGATCATATTATCCCAAAAAGTCTAAAGTGTAGTCCTTCAGCTACGAAGTTGCCCATGTATCAACTTTCGGCTGCGGCTCCGGCAGGCACTCCGGGCTCGGCACCATGGCTTTCTCCGGACAGCCCACCAACAATGTAACAAGAACCCTAAACCCTAAACCCTAAACCCTAGACCCCAAACCCTAAACCCTAAACCCTAAACCCTAAACCCTAAACCTTAACCGTGATAATAAGCAGAAGAAGAAAGTACATGATGATCATAATAAGGGCTGTTAGTGAGCGTTTAACCATGAGATAATGCATATGAACACTGGAAAATAATCAATGACTTGATAAGCTACTGGCAAAGAGAAGAGAGAACGAGCGCAGCACACAGTTCTCCACACATCACCAATACAACTCCCCAAACAAGATGTACAGCAATAAACCCTACTTCCTAAACAGGATCTAAGATCGAGTGCTTTGGGTTTAAATTTAGAGAAATTAAGGAGTGTCGGATCCAGTCAAGGCTTCAGACCTACAGCGCGAGTCTCTCGGGAGTTGCAGCTTACTGTAGGGAGCTTCATGATTAGAACAGGGTTTTGGCGGCCATATTGTCGTATAACCATGTATAATAACAAAAAAACATGAAGCTAAAACAACAACAACAACAACAACAACAACAACAACAATTTCAATTGGACGCTGCGCGAGCGGGCTCAGCGCATAGCGGGCATGTAGCCGCCTTGGCACTCACGGCAGTGAAACCGACCGAAAA